AGGAATCTTTAATAATTATCTAAATTTAGATGTAACCAAGATATTGTTCAATACGTGAGTGGATAAAGTGAGGTGCATCCAGGTAGTGGAAGAAAAGTACTGAAAGAATAACTTTAAATGCATATTATGCAATAAAAGAAGCCTATCTGAGGTCAGACCCTGGTGGCTCATGCCTGTATTCCTAGCTACTCAGGAGGCTTAGATTTGAGGATCTCGTCTCAAAGCCAGCCCAGTCAGGAAAGTCTGTCAGACTCTTATCTCCAATAAACTACCAAAAAGCCAAAAGCTGAGCTATGGCCCAAAGTGGTAGAGTACTAGCCTTGAACAAAAAAGTTCAAGGACAATGCCCAGGCTCTAAGTTCAAGCTCCAAGATTGGCATACACATACACACACACACACACACACACACACACACACACACACATACACACACACACGCTAATCTGAAAAAGCTACTTCCTATATTATGACAACAGTATGACATTCTGGAAAGGGTAAAACTATAGTGACAGTAAAAGCATCAGTATTGCTGGGCACTGGTGGTTCACACCTGTAATCCTAGTTACTCAGGAAGCTGAGAGCTGAGGATAACAGTCTGAAGCGAATTGGGGCAGAAAAGTCTGTAGGACTCTTATCTCCAATAAACTACTCACAAAAAGCTGGAAGTGGGGCTGTGGCTCAAGCGTTAAAGTGCTCACCTTGAACACAAAGAGGCTCAAGGACAGCGTCTAGGCCCTGAATTCAAGTCCCAGGCTGGCAAAAAAAAGAAAGATAGAAAGAAAGAAAAAAGAAAGAAAGAAAGAAAGAAAGAAAGAAAGAAAGAAAGAAAGAAGCATCAAGATTTCCTAGGTGTTGGAGGAGGGGAGATATGACTTGATGGAACACAAAGGATCTTAAGGGCAGTGAATAAACTGTGATACTGTAACAGCAATATTTGCATTATACATTTATTTAAACCTATAAGCTGCACACCACCAAGAGTGGATGAAAATATTAACCTGAGCTTTGTGTGATAATGACATACCAAAGTAGGCTCCTCAACTGTAACAAATGTAGCACTCTAATAGAAGAGGTTGATAAATGAAGCTGTTACACATTCGTTGTGGCTGGAGATACATGTGAAATCTGACCATTTTGGCTGTCTATTTAAAATCACTGTAAAAAGCCCAGTACCCAGTGGCTCACGCTTGTAATCCTAGTTACTCAGGAGGCTGGGATCTGAGAATTGCCCTTTGAAGCCAGCCTGGGCATTAAAGTCCCTGTGAGACTCTTATCTCCAATTAACCACTCAGAAGCCAGAAGTGGTGCTGTGGCTCAAGTAGTAGAGCGAGCCTTGATTACAAAGAGGCTTAGGGACAGAGCCCAGGCCCTGAGCTGTTCAAGCTCCACAACTGACAATTTTTTTTTTTTGCAAAAACCACTGTAAAGAGTAAAGTAAGATTTGGGGAAGTTCAAGCTTTGCATTATGTATGTCACAACCATTCAACTCTGCTACCATATTGAAAAACATTCACGGATGAAAGATAAATAGATGGACATGAATTTGCTCCTCTCCTCTACAACTTCATTCAGAAAAATCATCAGTAGATAGAGAAAACTCATGGATATAGTTTACTAATCCTCATGTGTATCTCTCTACTTCTTGCCCTCCATGCTACTCTGCATATGAACTATCTGTAAGCACTCACCCCAGACTACCTGATTGGAGCCCAATAAACCCTAGCAGAGAGAAATTTAGGCAAAATTCACCATGTCCAAAAAGGAAAGTTATCACCTTCCTTTATCGAACGTATCATTCTCACCATATACCCCCACAGTGGTGATAATATTTTTCTCCAAGCACTGAAGTTAGAAATTTAGTAGTTAGCTTTGTTATATCTCACTCTTAGCTGCCAAGTGGTCATCTGTTGCTTTTCTGCTCCAAACACTATTACACCTGCCTCTTCTCTTCCCCTTTCATCCCCTGACTTGGGCTGACCCTTGCTATGTCTTTCTTTCTTTTTTTTTGGGGGGGGGGATCCAGTCGTGGGGCCTGAACTCTGGGCCTGGGCGCTGTCCCTCAGCTCCTCAGCTCAAGGCTAGCACTCTACCATTTGAGCCACAGCGCCACTTCCAGCTTTTTTCTGCTTATGTGGTACTGAGGAATCGAACCCAGGGCCTCATGCATGCAAAGCAAGCACTCTACCATTGAGCCACCTTCCCAGCCCCTCTTTTATTTTTCTTTTGCTGGTCATGGGCCTGAACTCTGGGCCTGGGTACTGTCCCTCAGCTCTTCAGCTCAAGGCTAGCGCTCTACCACTTGAGCCACAGTACCACTTCCAGATTTTTCTGCTTATGTGGTATTGAGGAATGGAACCCAGGGCCTCATGCATGCAAGGCAAGCACTCTACCACTGAGCTTCCTTCCCAGCCTTCTTGCTATGTCTTGACCTGACTACTATAGCAGCAAGACCAGATTACCTGCAGTCCTCCAAATAGCTTTGCTATACAATTTTCCTTTTGTCAGGAATTCCTACCTACTCATTTAACTCCTACTCCCACTTCCTATCTTGTTAACCATTTCCTAGTCATTATTTAAAAACCCAACTCTGACTGTCTAGTCTACAGTCAGTGACTTCTCAAAACTACTTGGTTGAAACAGAATCCCCTTGAAAGAGAGTGAATATGGTCATAATGTTTAAGGGTACATATGTGAAAATGGATCATTGGAGCTTATTGAGATTTGTTTGGAAAGTAGTGAGATGGGAAAGAGTGACAGAGTGGGATAAGGCTGGTCAATATTCATTATATGCACATCTGGACATGTCACAGTGAAATCTCTTTGTACAATGAATTAATACTAATGAAAATGTGGAGAGAAAAAGACCCTCCTCAAACCTCATAATACCTTTCACAAGGCCAAAATCTGTAAGAGTCCCAAATTCATGACTTATGGGCAATTTAAGTATTTGCATCAGAATTTTCGGGCTCAAATAATTAGCTGTTAAATACTGTAAACTAAAATGCATTTAATTGCATGATTACTTCAGTAACTTAATCAACTTAATGAGAAAATAAACTCTTTTCAGATAAAGCACTTATCACTTTAGGAAAAGTGGATAACATTTATGCTCTGTGTGTGTGTGTGTCTGTGCTTATGCATGTATAACCATAAAGTAAGAATAGAGAACAACTTAATAGAAACCCTCACTCCCACCCAGCAGTCACATGGAATGTGAACCAAACATAGATCCCAGCAAAATTACACCTCTTCATGTAACAGACTTTTTATTTTTGGGTGTGGGGACTGAGCTCGGCTTGGTTGCTGTCCCTCAGCTCTTTAGCACAAGGCTAGCGCTCTACCACTTGAGCCATAATGCTACTTTAGGCTTTTTGTGCTTATGTGCTGCTGAGGACTCGAACCCAGGGCCTCATGCTTGCGAGGCAAGCAGTCTACCATTGAGCCAACATCCCAGCCCTATGTAATAGACTTTTAAAAATTGTTAAAACAGGGCTGGGAAGGTGGCTCAGTGGTAGAGCACTTGCATTGCATGCACGAGGCCCTGGGTTCGATTCCTCGGCTCCACATAAGCAAAAAGAAAAAAGCCGGAAGTGGTGCTGTGGCTCAAGTGGTAGAGCGTTAGCCTTGAGCTGAAGAGCTGAGGGACTGCGCCCAGGCCCAGAGTTCAGGACCCACGACCGGCTCCCCCACAAAAAAATCGTTAAAACAGTGAGTGTTAAATCTATGAGAGCCAAAAGCCTGCTATGCTTCTATAACTGTATTTGTACAAAAAAAGTCCATGTATCATCCTGATAAGAACAGGAACAGGCCTCTGTTTTGTCATTCGTTTTTCATACCAAATTTGACCTAAAGCAGTCAATTCAAAAGCCATTTGTTGACTCAAATTGCTTTCTAATGGGTTTCCCTATTTCCAGAGCATCTCCCTTTCTTTACACAGAAGTGTATTTGTGATACGACTCTATTGCTCCCCCAAACATTCAATGGCTGTTCATAATCTGCTTTACAGGATTATGACCCACACCCTGGCAAGGCATATAAGAACCTTCTCAGCCTGGCGTCAGTCAATATCCCCAGTGTCTTTTCTAGCCTCTCCTTTTCACACATTGCTCTTTCCAAGGCACACTAGCTGTTCCTGGACTTTCATTACTTCGTGCCTTTTGCCAAGTGCTGTTTCCTCTATTGGGAAAGGCCCTCCCCCACTCATCTGTCTGCAAAACTCATTAAGAAAGCTCAGCTTGAATATCACTACCTTTATAGCTTTCCCAGAATCATTGTTTCCCTCATGTCTTTCCCCATACCACTGAGTTTTGTTTCTGAAAACGTAATCTAATTCTGGAAGGAGGGGGTGCCCTGTCCAGCCTGCCCTAGGCAGAGTGACTGCGGCACTACGTGTGAAGCATATTTTACATGCAGCAGTTGGAAGGATGGGGCTAGGTGACCTTTAAGTTGTGACATGTTAATGTGCGCATATTTCGCACTGTGCCTACGAGTACACTCGTGTGTGTGTGTGTGTGTGTGTGTGTGTGTGTGTGTGTATGTGGGGGGAAGGGACAGAAATGAAATTGGAGAGTAGAAGGTGGACGCAGTGCAGTAGGAGCAAGCAGATGGGCAGACTCACTTTTCTTCCGTTTTTACAGTTTTGCAGAGGTCCAGCCCCGCAGCGAGCGCCGAGTCAGGGGTGGGGGAGGTGAGGGGTGGGGGAAGGGGCTAAAGCGGAAGGGGGAGGGGCTGGACTCCATCTGAGGTGTTCAACCTCGAATGCCAGGAGCGGTCACCCTCTTCTGCCACCGGGGCCAGTCTCTCCACGCCGTGACTCACGCCGATTGTGGCCTGCAGGGCGCGCTCGGCCGCACAGCCCCACAGGTGGCATCGGCCTCGGCTGGGCCAGAGGGTTCCCGCCAGGCTAGGCAGTGGAGCGCCGCACAGCGCGCCTTCCCGCCTCCCAGCCACCGCCCCAGCAGCTCCTAGCCGGCGCCAGCAGGCCTGCTCGGTCGATCTTCGAGCCCAAGATGCGGCGGGGCTGGAAGATGGCTCTGTCTGGGGGGCTGCGGTGCTGCCGCCGGGTACTATCCTGGGTGCCAGTGCTGGTGATTGTCCTGGTCGTGCTCTGGTCCTACTATGCGTACGTCTTTGAACTCTGCCTGGGTAAGTGGGGGCAGGCCACTTAAGGTGGGGACATTTGCCCAGCATAAATCATTTTGCCCTACCCTGTACACGGGTGTCCCCTGGGGTGTCTCTCCTTCCCCCCCCCCTCCCGACACTGCGGGTTTCCTTTTGCTCCCGATAAAAACTGCCTCTCTGACTGCAGCCTCTGGCTTTTCACCTTGTCTCCCGCGCCCTCCCACGAGGGTCCCACCACGTCGCCATCGCCGCCCACCTAAGGGTTCCAGATTTCTTTGCCAAAATCTCATTTCTTGGCTCTTCTCACCAGGGCCCCTTTTCTCCTACAGAGCAACCACTTGGTGCTGCATGCTCTCTTTTGGGGGACCCCCTTCTCTCCCGAATGGAGGAACCACCATACTCTGTGCCCTTAAACTCTCCACTCACCCTGCGAACCCTACCAAAGCACGCAGTCAGCAGCCCCACCATTTTTCCTCCTGCTAGGATACCGGTACTAGGAATTCCCTACTAAGAATCCAAAAATATTTCCTGGTTCTTTTACTAGTTTTCCTTTCTTCTATTCTGGGATTCACACTAGCTCAAGTGCTTCATCGCTACCCACTTGTATACCCTGTTTTAGCCCCCTGAGGGGCTCCCCCTCTCCCACAGTGATAAGCCTTCTCTTCTCTTTCCCGTTCTCTCAGCTTCTCTAATGGGATGGGGTTCCATATAAAGCCCTCTCCTCTCACACTAGACCCCTAATTTTTTTATCACTGCCTCCTGCCTTCCTACTTTAGGGAGCATTTGGCTTCTTCCAACTAGTGGCCTCGAGATATTTTCTGATACCTCCTAGTAGCTAGTGAGCCTGCTTTTGTCCTGGGAAGGTCCTGTTCCCTCCCACCCCCATCTTCTCGCACTGGCATGTTTTTCTTTCCCCTCCCCAAAGGGTTCCCACAGTCTCTACCACATTCTCCTAAAGGGTTACTACTTTTCTTACCATGATTCCTCCTTGATTACTTTTCTAGGAAATCCTTTCCCCGTCCCCTGCACACGTCCGGCCACCCTCTTCCACTAGTGTTTGCCATTGTTATTTCATAACTGGGATTGCATTTATCCTTGTCTTTTCAAAGTGGGGGAAGCCCTATCCTCTCTTGCTAGAGTTTCCAATATTTGCAGCCCCTCCTAATGACTCCTTTCTTGTTCCTCCTTGTTCTTCCCTGTCCCATTCCCTGTTTTGTGTGCACATGAGTGCACCCGCACAAGTGCTGGGGCTGGAAATCAGGGCTTGGATGCTGTCCCTGAGCATTTTTGCCCAGGGCTGGTGCTCTATCACTTGAGGCAAGTTCCACTTCCGGTATTCTGGTTGTTAATTTCTAGGACTTTCCTGCCTGGACTGGCTTCGAACTGCAATCCTCAGATCTCAGTCTCCAGAGTAGCTACTACTACACACATGAACCACCAAAACATGATCATCTGCTGCTTATTCGTAATATGGTTCCTACAGGATATCTCATGCTTTTCAACTCCAATTTCCACAGTATTCCACAAGTCGCCCCTTTATGTTTTTCCCTCTTGGATTCCTCTAATTGTTGAGGCTTATTACAAATGGTTTCTAATGTTCTCATAAACTCAAACTAGTTTTCGTATTATATCCTGTCCCTCTACTGCAGAGCCCCACTTTCTTTTCACTGAACTCTTCTGTTATTCCTGTCTTCTCACAATGAAGAATCCTTGTCTCTTCTCCAAACTCATTTCCTGTTGTTTATTATTATTTTGCTGGTCATGTGTTTTTCTCTCTCAAGACTAGCACTTTACCGCTTCAGCCATTGCTCTATTTCTTGCTTTTTTGGTAATTGATTGGACATGAGAATCTCACAGACTTTCCTGCCTGGCTTGGCTTCAAACCAGAATCCTCAGATCTCAGCCTCCTGAGTAGCTAGGAGTACAGGTGTGAGCCACTGGTGCCAGGCTTCATTATTATTCTTTTTTTCTTATTTATTTTGTCAGTTGTGAGGCTTGAACTCAGGGCTTGGGCTTTGTCCCTGGACCTCTTTGTGCTCAAGGTTAGCGTTGTACTTACTACTTGAGCCATAGCACTACTTCTAGTTTTTGTGTGGTTAATTGGAGGTAAGAATCTCACGGGGTCCTTTCTCCCCGGGCTGGCTTCGAACTGCGATCCTCAGATCTCAGCCTCCTGGATAGCTAGGATTATAAATGTGAGCCACCCGCACCCATCTTTTTATTTTTTCTATCATCTCTTTAACTAGAATCTCATGGCCAGCACTAGTAAACTTGTCATCTCAATGCTTTCTACTCATTGTGAGGTTCCCACTCCAATTCCACTAGAATTCTTAACATCCTTCCAAACCTCCATCCACATGGACTCCTTTATTCCTCATACCAGAACTTATCACGTCATTAAGGTTGGGGTGCACTTCTCAACCACAGGACCTGACTCCACTCATTCCCCCTTTCTCTTACATTTTCAACAATACACCACTCCCCCTGGGGAGGCAGGAGATGACCCTCTTTTTCTGATATACAACTCTGTACATCAGCCTTTGAATTTTTCTCACCTCCTTAGAGACATTCTGGAAAAGGCAGAAATAGATTAAAAAATAAATGTCATTAGTTGCCTGCATAGATACAAGATTAGGCGCATATGCTTGCATGTGTGTGTGTGTGTGTGTGTGTGTGTGTGTGTGTGTGTGTGCAGGCATTGGCCAGTGCCAGTAATGCAGCTGGAGGGCCTTGTCACTGCCCTTGTGCTTTTTTGCTCAAGTCTACCACTCTACCATCTGAGCCACAGCTCCACTTCTGGTGTTTTGGTGGATAATTGGAGATAAAAGTCTCACAGACTTTCCTGCATGGGCTGCTTTCAAACCATAATCTTCAAATGTCAGCATTCTGAGTAGCTAGGATTATAGGCATAAGCCACTGGTGCTTATGCACCATCTAGTATTGAGGTACATTAAGCACACTTTGAAGGGACTGGATGTTTTCCTATCCTCAGAACTTACCACTTTGGCTTTTTTATGGAATGATTGACTAAAGAAAAAAAATCAAAAGTTTAGCTCCATTATTATGGTATGTATGTTGCTCCCAGCATCAATGCCACATAGTAAGCACTATTAAACATATTTTGGAGTTGTTCAGTACTGGTTTGCCAAGAAATCTTTCAACATTTAGTAATAATAATTTCTAACTTACCTTGTGCCAGAAAAATGTCTGAAGTACTATATAGATACTAACTCCTTATAATTGAGTCCATTATTCAGCCCATCATGTGGATGTACAAACTAAGGTGCAGACCAAGTTAGAATCAGTGCAAATAATTAACTTTTTATAAGTCTTTACTTAGCCATATAGTATTAAAAAATAAAACCAGTGTGTTTTATTTGCATACGGTATGGCATTTGCTACATGGCACTTGCTAGTTCTAAGTGACCACACACACACACACACACACACACACACACACACACACACACACACACACACACACACACACACACAGAGGCAATCCTTTTAACCATATAAAGTCCATACTATCGTTACACTCAGTTTACAGATAAGTAAACTGAGGCAGGGACACACTAAAATAGCTTACCTAAGGTCAGAAGCTAGCAAATGGCTAAAATTGTAGGCAACTTTGTTCTACCATCCATGGTCTATTTGATTTTTTTGTTCATACTGTTTTTTTTTAACTTAAGGCCCTGAGCTTGCTAGGCAGGCACTCTACCAGTTGAGCCACACCCAAACTTTCTTTTAGCTTCAGTTATTTTTATTTTTATTTTTTTGAGTCCGGTCGTGGGGTCTGAACTCTAGGCCTGGGCGCTGTCCCTCAGCTCTTCAGCTCAAGGCTAGCGCTCTACCACTTGAGCCACAGCGCCACTTCCGGCTTTTCTCTTTTTGCCTATGTGGTGCTGAGGAATCGAACCCAGGGCCTCAGGCATGCAAGGCAAGTGCTCTACCACTGAGCCACCTTCCCAGCCCCAGCTTCAGTTATTTTTTGGATAGGGTTTTGTGTTTAGCTTACAAACAACCCCAGACTGTGACCCTTCAACCTGTGACTCTAATGTATCTGGAAATACTGACAGAAGCCACTATGCTCAGCTTGTTGATTGAGCTGGGGTCTTGTGAACTCCCCATCCCTAGAGACTAGCCCCAAACTGTAATCCTCCTAATCTTTGCCTCCAGAGTATCTGAGATTACAAGTGTGTGCCACTACACCCAGTTTAAAGTCCATGCTTTTAATCTCAACACTGTCTTAACATCTTGTCTCACAGAGGTCAAATTGTGACTCACAGGTTAGCTACAACCTGGAATTCTATTTATTTTCTTTGGTTTATAGCGTTTTTTTTTTTTTTTTTTGCTTATGTGGTGCTGAGGAATCCAACTCAAGGCCTCAGGCATGCAAGGCAAGCACTCTACCACTGAGCCACCTTCCCAGCCCCTATAGCATTTTCTTAACATTTGTGTAAGTTAGCATTATTTAAAAATCAAGGTAAATGCCATATGGTGTCAAACACTTTTAGTCCAAGCACTTGGGAGGCTGAGGTGGGAGGATCTTTAAAGCCCAGGAGTTTTAAGACCAGCTTGGGCAACATAGTGAGAATTTATCTAAGGTAATATAGAATAGGGCAGCCTTGACTTCCAATTCTGGCTTCAACATACTTTCTTGTCACCTTCCTTTTATAGCTTATTCACAAATCAGTAGCATGGATTTCAGAAAAGTTAGAGCAAATTTTCTTAAAGTCACATGTTTAGTAAAGAGTAGGGAATTGAAATCAAGGCTGCCTGATTAAAAGGCCATGCTTTCTCCAATGCAACCAAACTAACAGATTAGTGACTCAATACAACTTAAAAAGTAATATTAAAGAACAGCCATATGCTAGTGGCTCACACCTGTAATCCTAGCTACGCAGGAGGCTGAGATCTGAGGATTGAGGCTCAAAGCCAGCCCAGGCAAGTACCTAAGACTATTATCTACAATTAACAGAAAACTGGAAGTGGCACTGTAACTCAAAGTGATAGAGCACTAG